GGGGTTGTTATTGTTTCTAGGGGTCACTGTAAAGCATCAAGGAAGCGGCGCACTTCTTCAAGTGACTCGGTACTCAATTCCGAGAGTAGTACTTTCACTGCTTGTACAACACCTGTTTCCGTTGGGCCGATCTGAATCGCCGAGATCTTTGGTGTGGCCATCACAGAGTTCCCTGGGTATATACGTTTATGAGACTGATTGTACTGCGGCGACTCCACGTACATGCTGCGTGGTGACTCTAGGTGTGTGTGCTTCCGCTTCACCATGTGGTTTGCGGGGGGGCTTCGACGCGGACTGCGCACACTGCCGTTGCCGCGCATCGAGCGGTCATATGTCTGTTCACCGCCGCTATCGTGTCGCGTCCTTATTGTCTGATGAATTTGCCCATTCTTCGCCTGATATGAGGTACCGTGTGTGTTTGTCGATCCCGGACGTAGTTTCCCCTTCACAGCGTCACAGTACATCGATGGCGGTGGGGCGATCGCGTGCAGGTTTGGGAACACCCTGTAGGCCTCTTCACGCTCCTGCGGCAGAATATCAATGTCATCGAGACGCTTCAAACTTCCGACGGCGGCGATGACGAAGCGTCTGTAGTTAGGGTCCTGACATATAGGGTTCTCCGCGAGGTTTAGCACCGCCAGCTGAGGGCTGTCGCTGAGGTGCAGCACTTGATTCAGGTCCTCCACGCGATTCTTGCGGAGGTACAACTCACAGAGTCGACGGCAGTTCTCCAGCACCCCAAGCTCGCCGAGCTCATTGAGACTAAGGGAGAGCACCTCAAGGTTGCACGCGCGTCTCAGAACGCCAATATCGGTGAGTTGTGCTGCACAAACGTTCAGCTTACGAACGCGTTGTATACTGTCTACCTTGGTCTTCTGTAGCACCAAGTTTTCTGTGAGAACTCCCGCCATGGCGAAGATCCTGGAGATCCTTTTCTTCTGAAAACAGGACCAGCAGACACGAGAAAAACAAAGGTTTGCACAATAAGCCAACAGACATGAAAAAGAAAAAAAAAATAATTCAGTATAATAACAATAATAATAATAAACGAATAGAGAAATTCCAACAATCAGTGGTGCGGTACCTCACTGACGCCTTCGGCACCAATACCAACACCAACACCACTACTCTCTTGCTCTTCCTTCTCTTGTACCAAATCCTCACCTTTCCCTGCACCATGCAACTCATTTAAGAGCTTCGGCCCGAGTCTCATGATTCCATCTTGATGCAATCGCACTTTCACACGCGGCTTTTCAATGCAGTTGGTTTGCGCCACCTCCATGACTTCGAACGCCTCAGGGTATCGACGAAGTATGGTCTCAAGACAGCCCACTGCACCCCCCCTTCGACGCTGCATGTACTTGAACACATGGCGTGGCAAGAGCGCTGTGAGCACCTCAATCCACTTGTTGTCGCCCCAATCATCCCTCTTGTTGCTCAGACGCGGCAGTAGAAGCAACAGAATGTCTTCGTCCCGGAACACCATGCTATTCCAATTATCCCCATCACTTTGAACATCTTCCATGTCCTGTTCCCGACGCATCACGTTAACAGAAGTTGTGGTGACACTTTGTGTAATAAACAGGTGAGGATATTTATCAAAAAAATCGACCCCAACATGCATTGCGCCTTTTCCACCATCTGGTAATAACGTCTCACGCAAGGTCGCACTATTTACCCACACACCCGGCACCATTTGATCATAAATATGCAAGGCCACAACATCGGGGTTCAAGAAAGGGTTCCCATGTGGGTAGCGACGCCGGAACTCCTCCCGAACGATAGCTCGACGAAATTTTTGCCGCCGCAAAGGTTGCAGCTCTTTGAGCTTCACCCGCTCCTCACGCAGTTGCTCGTCGGTTAAGTCACTAAGCCTACCGCTCCGCGACCGCAGGTGCTGTGCCACCTCCTCGTCCGAAAGCACGAACTTTACCCCAAGAACCTCGTGGACTTCGCAGCGCGATGCTCCACCCAAATATAGCCGATCCTCTTCAGCTGCCTCAATGTCAATCGTAGGACCGAGTTGGAGTACAATTCGCTCCGGGTACGTCATTGCCACTTGCAGCAGTGGCGATTGAAGGATACCAACGGCCCGCTGTTTGATCTCGTCAATGGATAAGAAACTATCCGTCTGTAGTAACCGAGAGAGACGGCACATATCATACAGAGGGGCAAAATCATCCGCGTGCCAGCGAGGCTCCTGGTGTTTTCCTTCTTTTCTTCCTCCTTCTTCCCTCCTCCCCCCATTATCTCCCTCTCCCTCTTCCTGTGTGATGTCTTCATAAAGCATAGGTTTCATCGCCTGAGACCCCGCCGCGACAACGGCAACGCGNTTTCCCCCTCTCCCTCTTCCTGTGTGATGTCTTCATAAAGCATAGGTTTCATCGCCTGAGACCCCGCCGCGACAACGGCAACGCGTCTTCCCTCATAGCCGACTTGCAGATACAATGACATCCTTGGCCTCTTCCCAGAGCCTCTCTTTAAAACAGACTCCACTTCCTTCATCAGGCTTGTGAGCTGCTGCAGCGTCGCATCCATCGTGGACAGCTTCCATGCACGCTGGCAGGCAGCCAATGCGACAGGTTTGTACGGAAGGATGCTGCAGATCCTCTGCAACTGGGCGTCCTCTTCTGATTCATTACTTTTGGCTCGCCGTTTATGCTTCACTGGGGTCCTAACCACATCGTCTAGCTTTACGCACAACACACCATCCACCGTCTTCACAGCAAAGCCTGCTCCGCCTACCCCTTGTGGGCGTCGACAGAAGCCGGCCAGCCCGCCAACCTCCGCCAACGCCTCGCGCGTCTCTTCTGGAAGAACGGACGACACCCGTGACATGGGAACCCACGCCGGGGAAGAGATGCCTCTGCGAAGACGGCAAAGGGCCTTTTGCACCTCATCTCGTATGTGCGCCTCAATTGCGTGCGTGGTGCTTAACCTCAGCTGTCGCCATCCTAGGAGCTGGGCCGCTGCGCACCATCGACGCATCCTGGACGCTGCTGGACGAATAACAATTATGAAATGAAACATAGGGAAAGAGGAGGAACAAAGACTATCAACAGTCAGTTGTGACTGTGAGGGGTCATCCGTCGCGGAATACCCCATGGTGCGCTGAGCAACACGAGCATCACACACACACACACACACAGACACATGGCGATCGAATCTTCCTCTGTTCACCAACAAAGAGAAACTGTAGTGGTGACGGCCTAAGAAACGGCAGCTGATCAGCTTTTTCATAAACGCACACGCCGCTCGCGGTCCCACACATGCTGAGGAAATGAGATTGCGAAAATCGATTGATGCGGTTTGCCAGGCTCCGGTTGGTGGTACGTAAGTACTTCTGCGGCGAATCCAATGGCCTTGAGGGCCCCTTCAATGATACCACCCATGAAACTTGCATAGCTGACGCTCCACCGCCCCTCCCCGTCCACGTACTCTGGTGACGGGTACACGTACTTTAGAACAATAGGGTCACTATCAAAGAGGAAAAACCGATCAGAGCCGCCCTCCCGCTGGAGGTCACTGGCAGGTTTGCCGAACCAGCGGGACCACAGTTTGTCCTGGAAGAGCTTCAGAGCCCCCTCAATGGTGACGGGACGCCGCTGTAGTTCCAGTGGGTCTTTTAAAGAGGACAGCATAATGAGCCTCGCACCGACCAACGCACCGAGATTTGTCAAACGCTGTTCAATCTCCTCTATGTCGCGGGCTTTCGACGGTGTATTATGTGCTCGGGTGCACAGCTCCGAAAAAAGAAAACTAAACGCGGAGAGGGATACTTTTGCTTCGTCGCTGGTGGCTCGAGTCGATGTCTTGTCAGATTTCGAGCTTCTCAGACTATCGCGGTACAACATTTAGGGATTTGCTCGTTATGTGTGCGCGTATGTGTGTATATGTGGTGTCGTGTGCTTCTCCTATGCGTTCCTTCGATAGCTGTGGCCGTCACGCCTTCCCTTATATATGCATTTATGTAAGTGTGTTTGAAGAAGGGCCAGAAGATACAACAATAAAATATACAGAAAGAAAACCCCCTGGGAGAAAGGTAACATCCTCACCCAACCCCCCACCTTTTTTTTTAAAACACTTCACACCCCTATATTTTCTTCACTTTTTCACTTTCCCGACTTTTTTTTCATTAGTCATTGACCGAAGAGACACAGCCCCTTCGCAGGTGTCTAACGTCGTGGGAAGGGAGGACGGACACATTTGCTGTCTGAGAGATGGAGCAATCCCAGCACTGGACGGCGGAACAACACAATCCCCAACCCTCCTGTTACTTTTAGACCGCAGCATATTCAAGGGATCACCCTATCAGAGGAAAGAGGTCCTCCGCGGTATCCATAGTAACAAAAACAATACGCCAAATGCACGCGTATAGCCTTCTCCATTCCTATCTCACGACAATAATGGTCAACTTCACCTTATCATTTCGGTTCCCTGCAAGGATCTAAAAAAGGCTCCAATCAAACTACCCTGGACCCACAAAAAAGTCCCCCTCTTTAGTCTGTTGACCCTGTGTCCACCCAAGTGGACCGGTTGACACCATGTAGCTCCGGCTTTCCTTGCAAAGGCGTTGTTACAGAGTTCAATGCAACCATAGCCGCAAGAAATTTTTCGTACAAGACAAACGCCATGACGGTTGTAGGAACGACACGACAAATATTCACAGGAAGACCTCTGTAGAGGCCCAGCATGCCTTCAGTGCGCCATATGGTTCGGAATGCCGCACCCATCGAGCTATATTCTTGCAGCGGCTGATTTCGCTTGTCCTGCAAACGAGTTCGAACAACTTCGAGAGGGTTACAGATCGTCGAGGCAGCAGCTTTCGACAAAGCTGAGGCAAGCGCTACCTCCATCGTTGACGGATTCTCACTGTCCTTAAAGGCTTCGCGCTTTATTCCTTCATAGAGTGTCACCTGAATAGTGGTGCTTCCTGTTAGAAGGATTTGTGGCCCGACGCCACGCAGCAAGGAGAGGAGACCTTCCTTCTTCACAATAGCCTTCACACCACCGATGAAGCCTCGAGGTTTGTGGTAATGCTTCACATCGTACAATTGTCGGCGTGTTTTCAGAAGATTAAGCGGCGTAATGATAGTACCGGTAACAACGGCTGCAAAACATGCACTCAGAAAGTCTCGAGTGGCGCTCCCACCACTACTATTTGTTCCACCTTCGGTGGCTATAAGAGGTGTTTTAACCCCCTCCTCAATGGATTGAAGTCTCTGTTGTGCAGCTCGAAATGCCGTCAAATACAGTCCCCATCCTATACTGTGCGTCACCATAGCCACAGTGATGCCTCTATACATGCCTCTCACACCCTCCTCCTGCACAATCTGGCGGGCGGAGCGGAGAGGAAATGTATTTCCACCCTTGTATATATGCATCCGTGTGCGCAAGAAATCCAAGGGGTAAAAAAGTGCTGTGGAGGTGCAGCCGCCGAGTATACCCGCTGCACCATGCACCAACGGCCCTACTGGTTCTTCAACACGCTTTGCAGCGGCTAGCTGCTGCCCGTCGTGCGAACGCTGCGGCGCCGCCATAAAGCTGAATAAAGGACTCGGAGTTTGTCTCTACTGCCCAAGCACTGTTTTTAAACTTTCGTATAATATACCTAATTAATGGTATATATAATATATAATATAATATATTAATATAATATATTATATTTAGTACAATATATATTATATCCAAGCTTCCGCGCGATGTGAGGGGGAGACAAACACAGCGTCCAGGTTCCTCCCCAAGTGTGTGGAAGAATCACTGCTGGCGCTAATCGTGCAATGTGGTGCCTACTCCCCCAAGACCTTCTCCCGGAAGGAGCCAAAAAGCAACGATAACAGCAACAAAAAAAAAAANAAAAAAAAAAAAAGGAATGCACAGAAGACCTCAACACGGATGTGGAGACAAACAGCGTGAATGGGGGACAACGGAACAAAACATCTTCCATATGCCACAATTCATTGCGACACAAAAAAAAAGAAGAAATAAACGAATCAAGGCCAGCCCCATATTTCCTCGTGCCGTTAACAGCACCTTTATCATAAGAACGCTTTCCTTTTTTTCTTTTTCTTTTTTGTCTCATTGGGAAGGGATCTTGTGCACGGTGCCAGCGAGTTGCTGCACACACTACTGCAGCTCCGGCCAGTGGTGGGACTCACGGCCCTCTTTATCCAGGCGCTCGTATCCGTGGCGGCCAAAGACATCTCTTTGGAGTGAGACAAGTTGACCATATTTTAGAGTTGGCGTGAACATCGCATTGACATATTGTAGAGAGGCTGACAGAACAGGGATGGACACCGCTGTCTTGGAGGTGATGAGAGCCAGGATGTCACGGTAGTACTGCAGACCCTCTGGAATTTCCTTGAAGGCACACATCAAGTTACTGAGGTTTGGGTTTTTCTCAAAGGCCTCCGTCATCGGCTTAAGGAGGTGCCCTTGCAGAATGCACCCAGCACGGAAAGTTGCGATAGTGGCTGGGAGGTTAAGACCAAATTGGTACACCTTATCCAGCTCACGGAGACATTGGAACATCTGGGCGTAGCACGCAATCATTGCGATAGAAACAGCATGGTAGAGCTGCTGAACTTCCTTCGCCTTGGGGCTCTTGTCCTTCATAGTGTATCCAACGGCCTTCACAGCAGAGGGCATCGCCTTTTCGTTGGCCTCGCGCTCAGACTTGTACATTGTAATCTGTCGTGATACCACGGCCATGCCGAGACTCGGTGCTGGCACGCCCACCTCCAGCGCCTCCTGTACGGACCACAGACCGGTACCCTTCGAGCCGATACGGTCCTTGACAAACTCGGAGAGATATTGACCACCTTCTGCCTTGGCACGCGCCGCAACAATCGAGATGTCAAGCATATAAGACGTCAAGAAGCCCTTTGCCTTCCAGTCCTCAAATACATTTGCCACTTCATCATTGTTCAGACCCAGCGCACGAAGAATGTCGAAAGCCTCTCCCCACACCTGCAGTATGGCGTACTCGCCAGCGTTGTGGTACATCTTCACGCATGAGCCGGCGCCACCGCGTCCATTCATCGTCACACACGGGCGTCCGTCTTCCGCCTTCGCGGCGGCGGCTTCGACGATTGGGCGCACTTCCTCCCAAACACTGAGTGTGCCGCCGGGGAAGAATGCCGGACCCTTTCGGGCACCCTCTTCGCCACCAGATATACCCATGCCAAGGAAGCGCAGTCCCACCGCTTCCAGCTGCTCCGCGCGGCGTCCCTGGTCTTTGAAATGCGCGTTGCCAGTATCAACAATAATGTCGTTGAGTTCCATTGTAGCTCTCAGCTGCTCGATCGTTTCGTCTGTTGCGGCACCAGCCTGGACAAGAATGAAAACCTTGCGCGGCTTCTTGATCGCAGCGACAAAGCTCTTCATGGAAGCGAAGGCTTTAAGATTTCCCCCAAATGGTGCTGATGCATTTTCATGGATGAACGCCTCGGCCTTGGTGTAGGTACGGTTGAAAACAGCAACCTTGAACCCTTTTTCCGCCACATTGAGCGCCAGATTGGCACCCATGACACCAAGTCCGACAATGCCAACGTCCATTGATATGGTGTGTATTGTTTTTCAACGGTGTAATTAAGTTTCCCTGAGAAGCAGACTTCTCCCATGAAGTGTGTGTATGTGTGTCGCATGGAATACACACACCCACACCCACACAGAGAGCGCGCGAGAGAGAGAGAAAGAGAGAAAGGCATTTGCACTGATGCAAACAACGACAGAACAAGGAGGAACATAGATTCACATGGCACACAAGTCTCTTCTCGTAAACACCAGAGTGAATCCAACACACAACAACAACAACAACACAGCATACCCACCCAAAGGAAGGAACAAGCAAATTAATCATGCTCACAACCTTGATCCATCCGTCTGATTGATCTTCATGAGCATGCGGATTTTTTCTTGCTCCTTCTCAATGCGGGCAATGAGGCGCTTGCGGCGCTTCTTTTGAAGCAAAGTTTTGCGACTCTTCTTTTTGCCTTGTTCAGCACCACTTCCTGATACTTCTTCTCGTTTCTCTGCACTATCAGCTCCCCCAACCAGCACAGAGAGATCTCGCCGAAACCGCTGTCGTTTTATCGCCTCACGTTGCAATCGTTCCTGTGTCTCACCGGCATCCGGACCGTCAATGATAAGCACCAGTTGCCCTTTCTTGAGCATCATGTGCGCCTCCTGCCGCGAGTAGAAAGCCAGCAACTTATCCGCTGTGTCAGCGTGGAGCGACTCATTCATCTTCGTCATTTCGTGGGCCACAACGACGCGTCGCCGCGGCAACACCAGTGCAATGTCCTGCAGCACGAGCAGCAGGCGGCGTGGGATCTCGTAGAAGACGCAGGGGCACGTCGCCTGCCCAACTGTCGTACGAAGAATGCGCAGACGCGCCCCGTGCGACTCCGGCAGCATGTTGCCAAAGAAAAATGACCCGTCTCGTAGTGAGCGAAGGGCAGAAAGCGACGGGCCGCCTTGCGATGCCTCAGACGTTGTCGCATCCTTTTCGTACGGGGAGGACGTGACACCCGCAATGACCAGGGCACAGGTCAAGGCGCACGCCCCAGGCACCGCCGCCACACGCACACCGTCCGCCTGCATTTCGCGAACCAACTCGCTGCCAACGTCGCCAACGCACGGCGTCCCGCTTGTGCACACCAACGCCATGCTTCTCCCGCCACGCAGCAGCTCGACAAGTTTGTCCTTGGTGGCGGAGCGATTGCTGCGAGAGTAGTGAATGAGGCGGCCTTGAGACTCGATTTGAACAAGGTCAAGCAACGTCTTAGTTGCCGGTCGGTCCGTTGTAATGATGTAGTCCACCTGTCGTAGGACATCGAGAGCTCGTATCGAAAAATCCTTTAGGTTTCCAATGGGTACGGAAACGACGTGAAAGGTGCCTGCGTCGATGTTTGTCGGCGTGGTCAACGGGTTAACGGCGTCCTCGGGAATCGTGCGCGTGTGGCGGTATTTGAATGATCCCCGGCAGGGGAAGCTGGCTGCAATGAAGCAGCGTAGTTGCTGTTTCTGCTGCAGTTGCACCTGCTTGGGGCAGAGACTGGCACTCGTGAAGAAACGCGAGACGCAGAGCTGGGGAATGCGTCGGATAGCCATGAATCCCTTCGTGTCTCTCTCCCCCTGTCGTTGTGAATAACACACGGAGAAAGCAAAAGAAAGAAAGCCTCACATAATGCAACAAAATATGGGGGAAAAACAACAACACCAAAACAAATCTTACGTAGGTAGTTATTGCCCAGCATCAGAAGGACACGGCCAGATTTGCACCAATCTGGATAAATGTATCTTTTTTGTTTTCTTTCTTAAAACGCCTTTGCGTTTATTCTTCTTGTTTTATCCGGCGTTGTTGTTACGTTTTGTTTCACTGCTTGCCATTCACCAGCGCAGCGTACAAAAGTGTCGCGCTGCCCTGCTGTTCGGCCACACGCAGCAGCTCGTCGTACACCGAAAATGCGGGTCCGCTTTCCTTCGTCTCCCGTGCAATAGCCCCCACAAGATACGCCAGGAGCGTGTCCTCGGCAAACATGTTCTCTGCCTCCTTCTCAAAGAGCACCTCGTCGTCCTCTGACTCATCGTCGTCTGTCTCGTTGTCACCATCCACCTTCTCACTGCCATCAGTCGTGATGCTGTCGCCAGGTGCCTCACCAGCCAGGAGGTAGTGCTGCACCGCCTCGGGCCGAAGGATGCCGCGCTCGCCGCAACGCCGCAGGCTGCACACAACAGAAAGCACACAAGTCATGTGATCAAGGGAAAGGTGCGTCGTCGATGTGAGATGCGAAACGACTCGGCATGCGTCGGTGCGGACATCATGTGCATCGTCAAGAAGAAGACGAAGAAGAATCAAAAGAAGGGCGCACCGGCGTTCCGAAGCGTCGCCTCTGTTGCTGCTGGTATTGTTGTTGATTCCGTAACCACCTTTATCGTTGCCTTCACATATTGACAACAGACCGTCTTTCAACGCTGCCACAACCGCCGCACGGTTCTGCACGTTGAAGATGGGACGGGAGTAGTGCGAGACGACCCTCACGAAGGCGTCACTGCAGGCACCTCGCCGCACACAGCAGCGAGCGAGAAAACGTATAGCCCAACTTTGCACATCCGTGTTGTGCAACGGCCGCCTTGCTTGGGGGCTCATCCGTTGGAGGAGAAGCTCCTCCACTGTGTCGCAGAGCTCAGTGTGCGCCACTGAGCGCAACTCTTCCTCGCTGCTGAGCATAACCAGGTATTCCAAGTGAGCTTTCATGTGCAGAACCCCCGTGCACGGTAATTCCTGCACGGCGAAACCTTCTGAAAGCTGCTGCGCCAACCTGTGCAAGGCTGCATGTGTAGGATCACAGTGCAGCTGAAGTGTAAACTGATGCATCGCCCTTTCCGCTGTTTCACGTGACCACCGCTGCTGTGCCGTGTAGTAACTTGCGTGCTCCATGAGATATGACAAGAGGCATGCACTGCTGTCACTCAGAAACACTCGGCGCAGGAGGTTCCAAATATGATCGTCTGCCTCGCCACTCGGAAGGGAAAGCAACTGAACGACAAGAAGCACAAGAAGGGCGCTATTCTCTTCTACCGCCGCGTGGTCTGCGCGTGCGACCTCGTACGACGAGGTAGAAGCGCACGTAACATCGTGCACCACCGCCACACCAACGCGCGCTAATTCCAACAGCGGAGCGAAGTTCTTACCTTGTCCGTGGCTCTGGTTGTAGTATAGTGCATCTGATGCCAAACTCAAAAATGTGGTGGCGATCGTAGGGCAGCGCACGCACGCGCTGTGCAGCATTGGGACAGCAATAGCGTCACTAAGCCCCTCAACTGTCAGACGGTTGACGAGAGCTGCGACCGCAGCTGTAGCATTGCTGTTCATCGCCCTCACCCTCATCTTGCGACGCAATGTGCCTACATAGAAGGTGTGAAACTGCTGCATGTGGAGCAGTGTGCCGTGCAGAGTGTTGGCATCTGTCTGTGGATCCGCCAGTTTAGAGAGAAGTTCCGAAAAAAGGCTTTCAATTTGTGCGGGCGGAACTAGTGAGGTCAGCGCCACAGCACTCGCGGCGCGGATCATGAGATTTTTTGAAGACCCACACCGAATCACGGCGCGAATAATCCTTGAAGAGTCCACGTCGGCACCTGCCACTTCTGTCTCTGCTGCTGCTGTTGTTGTTGTGGCTTTTGTCAAGAGGTGTGCCGGGTCTGGCGTAAGCATGGAGAGCATTTGTAGTAGTGGAAAGACACCGAGACTGGGTACTGGATTTGCGCAGCTCCTCACCAACTCTTCGTACGAAAAGGCGACTCCCCGCGGCGAACGTACCGCGATGTCGTGCAGAGAAGTGTTCACGCCTACACCGCCCGTCGATGGATGCTCTCCAACGAAGCGTGGAAGAACAGCTGAGAATAGCATCAGCGAACTGTTTCTTATACCCCAGCTGGGGGCATCGAATCCCGCTGTGGCGATCCAGAACGCCTCTTCGAGGTATGCCACTGACCGTGTGGCGAAAACTTTGTTCTCAAAGACAAACTTGAGTACATTCAACGCGTTGGAGCGCTGGCTACAGCGTGTCTCATCACTTGGTGGCTCAACAGTACTCTGGGCATCGTTATGATTCACCCCCGTTGCCACCAGCAGAAGCGTTTTCATGGCCTTGGGGAAGAGGTAGACTGGGACGTTCGGGTCCTCCGCCTCGAGGATGACCAGCATGGCGTGTGGCAGGCCTTGACTCCTCCGCAGCATTCTTGCGACGCTACCTGACGTGACGCCATCCGGTCCCAGCAGGAAGTCGAGCATCTCGCCGGGGAGTGTGTGGAACGTTGCATCGCGTGAGCGCAGTAACGCGGCGGCCACCGTTTTGAGAGCCTGTCGCACCGCCCGCATAACACCATTATGCTTCGTGCGGAGGAGTGACTCGATGAGCACGTAGCACACTTCACGAACAACAGGAAAGGAAAGATCTTCAACCTTCACGAGGCGCATGACACGTTCTACTGCTGCTGCGCTCGTGCGGATGCTGAGCCACGTGTTGTTAACAACAGTGCGCATCGTTTCTTCTGTACAGGAGCCGTCCTTATCAAACACATGTCCACGACAATCTACATCCACCTCCCCATTGTTGTTGGTGTTGTTGTTAGAAGAGCTGTCTGACTCATTACCAAGGAGGGAACACGTTTGTAGTGCCTCACTGCAGCAGAGAAGCAGCGTGTTGCACGCCTCATGAAGGATATGGGCATCCGACTTTACTTCCCATGCATTCGACAGCAGTGCTGTGCAGAGTGAGAGCGGCCCGTGCTGTGGATGCTGTTGTATAAACTCGCATGCCTTCTTCACACCCAGCCCTCGGAGCTCCGCAAAATTCTCCTTCAATAGTACCATTTCACGCAAAACAATTTCCACTCGTCTCTGGCACTCCCCCGTCGGGTCCACTGCCGCCGCTTGCTTTGCCGCTGGTGTAAAATGAACTGCAAGAACATAGCGTAGCACTTCCCCCTCAGCCTTTCGGAATGTCCGTGCACGCAACAACTCCAACTTGGCGCTGCTTGCAGCATTTAGATGGCCAAGGTAGTGTGACGAGAAGATCACAGCAGGGACATGCTCGCAGTACAGGACAAGAAGACTGAAGGCACAGTTGCGCGCTTTTTCCCACCCCTCTGTTAGACACTCCAACAATCCCTCGACGAGTGTGGAGGGAAACAAGTGTTCTCCAATCTGCTGCAGCTGCTCAGCGGGAATGAACTCAAAGACACAGCGCAGAAGACACGTGTACGCCGACATGGCGGCCACGCGGCGCTCGAGAGACAATTGACGGCACCACTTTGCTGTTTCGCCAATCTGCGGAACAAAGCAAGATACGGTTCGTACACAGTGTTCGACAACCAACTGCTTGTATTCTTCTGCAGCTTCACTTCCCTCAGCACCCTTCTTTAGTTTGTTGTTTTGATTTAGATAGCTATCAACAAGGCGTCGCGTCCACTTCTTATACACCTCTAGAAGACTGCGCATAGCTGCCGAGTCACCACCGCAGTGCATGTTGGTGCTGATGTACCACTCCACCATGCGGCACTGCCAGATTTCAACAGGCTCCGCCTTCTTCGTACTTAACACACACAGACCCAATGCTGTGTAGCGAAGCTCACTTTCCTGCGCTTGGAGGCTCGCCAGAATAGCCTTGAATGAGCGACTACTTGGGTGAGTGTACGCCGCAACGTCCCTTCCCACAAGACGGGCACGATGAATTATCTCAACAACGCTTTGGTTTGCCACAGGTGATCCGTCATCACCCTCCAGCATTTGCATCATCTGTGAAAGCAGTATTGGCAAATACACCTCATCGTTTTTGAGGCAAGGTGTGATCATGTGGGCCACAATGCTTGAGACACGCGCAGCATCATTCAGGTGCGGTGATGAGGAATAGCCAGGAACAAGGAGGGACTTGATCAACGGTTCGATAATACCCCCCATAAAAAGTACCTCGCTATTCGCCTCATTGGCAACAACCATCTTCCGAATGCGTCCAGCTGCCTTTGCAAACACCTCACCAGCGATGCTTCCAATCTTGTGGTTGCCGGCACCAGAGAGGAGCATTCTGCCAAAACAACAGAGTCCCTCAACATCTGTCGTGATTTCACCGTTCTGCGAATAGTGTTTCGTCAATTCGGATAAAAACTCCGGAAGTGGTACAATATTTAATAGTCCAAGTAGCGCGTGGTATTTTCCCCGCCGCTCGTCGGGTATGGAGAGGATACGTCGCAGCGTTTCAGAAGTATCAAAATCATCTTTCTCTGTGTTTATTGCCGCAAAATTAGGATAGGCTAAAAGGGCACAGCGTCGCAGTGCATTATGCACAGCTAGTATCTCATTGTACGTGTCGTATAGCGGCCCAGCCACCTGCTGGGTGCTGTCGTCCCACATACCCATAATAATATCTGTGGCGTGATTTAGTGTGCGGACGAGCTTGGGTGTCTTTGCGCACGATGCCAATAGGCTTGCACGCTGAGATTCAGGCAGTGGCTCATTTCTCTCTGTCCACTGTAAGCTTTTCTTTGCAGCCTTGCTGATTTTCTTCGCATCTCCGTCTGAAGAGGGTTCCAAAATATCAGCAATGCATGAAAGAACAGAAGAGATGTGCCGAACAACACTGTCGATTGTTTGAATAGCCATAAACCGCGTGTCGGGGGCCTGCAGAGCCGAACAGTACGCTTCCGCTGCCGGCATGATGATATCGTGCACAACTACACATCCTTCAGAAGCGGCAGAGTTGTTCCCCTCGGGCAGCCGTACAATCGGTTTAAGCAGAACTCCAAGGGAGTCAAGGTTGTTGTGAAGAGGGACCGACAGATGCGCGAGCAGACCCTTCATCAAAGCAAAGCGACCATTATCAGAGAAGTTGCGAAGAATACTTTCCAGGGCGTCATTCGTTTCGGTGTGCTTCATAGCTTCCTCCTTAGGATCATTAGAGGAGACAAGTTGTACCAACTTCCTCACCTGGCTCACCAGTAAAGCCGATGGGAGCGCATCAGTAGAAGCCGAGGCTGTGTGTGGGTTGGGAGTGCCACAGTGCCGGCAAACCTCGAGTAGTAACCACGGTGAGCATGTCCGCAGGGTCAGCAGCGATGACACTAACAAGCCAGCCCCGTTAAGCACGTCCTTTGGAAGAACGGACGATGAGAGCATTGCTAGCGCAGGCGACAGCAGTCTGCACATGTCTTCCTGCAGAATAATGATCCTCGTCGTGTCCGCCTCGCACAATGCCCTCTCAAGAAGATACAGGAATTTGTGTGTGTACGTCGTAACGACGCGAATACCGTACCGCACGTAGGCCAAATCCTCACCCAGGAGGGTGCCATCACTTGTGCTACCCGCCTTGGCCTGTCGGCATCTCATGCGGGCATTTTCCACCATCCACTGCAGACTGTCCCCGAGAAGTGGCACCACGTCAAGGAACGTGTCGGCGAATACACGAGGAAAGAGGGGAATGGCAACTGTAGTTGTACTGTCGATGCAGTTCACCCAACTCATGGCAGGATCTTTGAGTCGAAGAAGTGTCTCCTCGTTGTCTAGCGCTCCTGCCTCGCCCAGTATAGTGGGCCGCTTCATCGCCCCAGGAATCCAGCAGCGAATGTGGGTGTCGAGAAACGCCTCACGGAAGAGCACCTCCAGTTCATCGTCTATCACATACACAGTTCGCACCAGCGTTGCGAGCGCACGGTGAAGGTACCGCACAGCGCAATGCAGCATGAGTGGAAACACAAAGTGTGAAGCCAGCTTTTGCAGGAACAGTTTGCACTCGGGTGCATCCCGTTTGGCAACAAAACCGGCCTCTCGCAGTGCGCCTGTGATCTGCGAGACGCACCGCACCCTTTGTTCCGGCGTGGTGGCATCGATCAGGCCGTCGACCTCACGGCAGACGACAATGGCCGCCTTTGGGGTAAGTGATGCAATACCCGCAGCCGCCTCGCGGATGATGGGTGCACCTCCCCTCAACTCCGCAGACACATTCTCGGGAACGCCAATGTCTGCTGACGGGTTAAGGCGGTGCTGCTGCATGCGCATTGACGTGCTGTACCCACTCATGTCTGACACCCTTGCCTTTTCTTTTCCCCCACATAAAGCAACAAGAACAATGGTAAATAATAATGAGCAGGTACCCATTACACATTTTATGTGCATAGTATGAAGGAACACAGAGGACAAAGACAAATACAGATTCCACGGCATTTCCCTTGGACTAAGGTCAACGAGGAACAAAAATAAAACACCCGCATTTATGATACATCAGGGAGCAAAAAAAAAAAGAACCACATCTCCAAACAGACAAAGAAAAATATGCTCTCTCCCGGACGGAATTACTCATTGGTCAAACCCATCGTGTATTTCCACCGCCGAAGCGAATCACCTGGCCCACTGTTACAGGTTTTTTTGGACGCATTGTCCAGCGGACGCGGGTAGTGGCGACTGCGGGGCTTCTCCACTGCCTTTCCGCCCACGTGCGGCCGCATCGGTGGACGTTGCGCGAGCACCTCGAAGCGCGTGTACGGTCCACGTTCTGTGAGCGTCAAGAAAGGTCCATCGTAGTTTGGCGGCGGTGGGCCGTCGCGTCGAAGATCCGCCTCTGCGTCGTTGTCACCGTGCCGTTGGCGCTTATATTCGCGCACCAATGACTCTTCGATGTCATCCGACAGCGTGTCTATCGTTGTACCAGTGAGCCGGGCACGCGGTGGCGGTGGTGGTTTCTCCGGCTGCTTAGGCAGCTCGACAGCACCGTAGTAGAGGCGCCGTCGCTCTGCCTCGCTGTGGTCGAGAAGTTCAGACTGCTGCAGCCGCTTCTCATCCTCCCGAATGAGAGCATCGACTGCGGCATCGTCTAGAGATTTCATTCTTGGTGGCACACCTCCATCCAGCAAGATGTCGGTTCCCACCTAGTCTTCCACTGTTACCGCAAACATGTGAGGTTTTCCATCATAAATGAGCATGAAAAACGGGAGCGCAGTTATAGTGAGTAACCGCGGCTAAACAGCACCTCGGCCCAACTGCCAGTAGGCCTGTTGCAGGGGCAACAATAATAACACAAAAAAATTATAAAGAAAACAACAAAAAAAGAAAAGAAATGGAACTAACACCACGCCCGACTTTCGACGGAAAGCAATGATAGTCACGCAGAAGCACACAGACACACACGTGAGTTGTTTCCATTGGACGCCCTCTTCTCGTTTTACCCCTCATCCCTCATCTCCTCTCTTCTCTCTGATTCTTCTTGTTAAAGGGATTCGTGAACAAAACAAAACAAAAAAAAAATCAAGCAGGCGAGCGACAATTTAATAAACGTGGCTTGGACCTATAAGGGGAAAGAACAAATAATATCCACCCCACCCCCTCTCCCCTCCTCCTCCTCCTCTAGCACGAAGCGGGCGCGAACACTCATCCCACGCCCCCTTGCTGCTCCCTTGTCGTGGCTGGAAGGAATGGAGAAATAGTGGAGGTTGTATCCGGGTGTGCGAATGCCTCATATAATAATTCGGCCTGCACGAAAGCTCAGTGTCGATGATATGTACACATGGCGCTTCTTGTGGATTACTTCCTCTTATCGTTCTCCGTCTTTGTTCCTCATCTTTTTACTTATCCATTCTTCCCCCTCCTTCATCCCGTCGCTTCCCCACATATCCCACCCCTTTATAAGAAAGCAGGCACTGCCTCATTTATCATCGTCATCCTCTATAAGCGGCCCATGTCGCATGAAGAACGACTCTTGAATGACCTCCACCTCGTCGTCGTCGTCATCCATGTCTAACAGCGGAGCGGTGGTCAGCGCCGGTGTGCTCCCTCTGCCCGGGACAGCGCCTGGCGGCAGCGTGGTGGAGTGCGGTGTCGTCTGCTTCTCCCACAGCGTCCCGTTAGCAAAGCGGTGTAGCATCGCCACATCTGTCGCGGGGGTGCTTGACATAGGCAATGTCTCCTTTGGCGCAGTGCAATGCGTCGCGAAGGTCTCGAAGCTTCCTTGATGCTCCACCACGTTTAACTCCGTCACAAGTTCAAGAAGCTGCCGGCGAATGTCCTTGTGCAACCGCTCAAGATCCAAGTGTCGGTCATACTCCTTCAGTGCGAGGCCAAATTTTGTTCGCGATACAGGATGAGGTAGAATGCGAAGCGCTTGCATGCACCCAAGTGCTTCATTCACTTTCTCACGGAAATTAAGGATCTGTGCAGCCTCCTCCACTGGTACCATAAAGCGCTTCATTTGTCGGTTGCATGACACACCAAAGTACACGACACATCCTTTATCAGTAATCACAGAGTTGGAGTATTCCACTTGGGGGTAGAGTAGTAGTAACGATGCGAAGAAGTACGGTGTATGTATGAGCGAGAAGAGACCGGCAAGGATTGTTGAGCCATTCTTTAGGATCACGGGAATCATTATCTTACCGGTATCCCACTTAATGGACGACGGAATAAAGTTGTGCGGCACTAAGCGCTTTGAAGTCCGGACAAACGCCATTGAGGCGTAACGTTCTTTTTCATTAAGATGCCCCGCGTCGCGGATGAACGCCGCACGCCGCGCCAAGGCAACAGATTCCAACAGCAAGAAGACCGTGGAGTTTTCCTGCACCGAAGCAGCCACGCTTTCAAGAACTGACAATGTTTCGAAATGCTCGAGGAAGACGTAATTCGTCAGTTGCTCCCTCATGTAGTTCATCAATCCCTCAATCTTCTCCAGCTTGAACTCTTGAACGAGGATCTCATCGAGGAAGCTTGCAGTAGGTTCTCCACGTGAACGCAATTTTAGCCACTCGATGAATACAAAGGTATCGGCAAGAAGGTCACTCTGACGAGCGATGTCACCGCCGTACTTTTCACGACTCTGCCTTGTCGACTCGTTCCAGTGGGCACTACTGTACGTCAACGGAGTGGTGGACCGGAATGGCAACGCTGCCACGCTACCTATGGCCAGCACAGCCTCTCCAAAACCAATGTTACAACCACCAATTATAAAACAGGCGATATCTAACTCCACAGGGAGGCGAGCGGTCATTTCACCGAGGAAGGTAATTGCAAGGTTCTGCGGGTTGGCTACCATGCACTTCTCAGCCAGGTTGTGCATCACTTGCTCAGTTGTCTCAGCAGGAATGTCTGGTAAAATAGCCATCACCTCATTCATAGGAAGGCCCAGCCTGGCACACTGGACAAACGCATCCTCAACACTGAAAACATCAGGAAGAGATTTGGTGTCTTCGCGGAACGCCGCCGCAACATCATTGGAATACAAAGCAAAATAGCAGTGTTCTTTTTTCCCGTCAAGGATCGAAATACGTTCTGCGCGTTCTGTCTTTCGCTCCCACTCCGTTGTACTAGCAGCCATAAAAAGCTCCGACTTGTGCTGCGCTGTTGGTCGCCTGATAGTACCCATATCCAGTACCATAGTGTACTCATTCTCGGTTTCCAGGGCGTGGCGCACGTGATTCATCACATACACACGATGCTTCATATTGTTTGTTTCTTCAGTGCTCTTGAAACCAGAATAGACGGCACAACCCTCAATGCGAGCATCTTGCAAGGCTGTCAGGACTTCGCGTGCCTCCGCAGTGAAGACCACGACAACCTGCGAGGTTTTGCTTTCTTTGATGATGCACCTCACCACATCGGCTGCCACTTTTGCAGTGTAGTCGATGAGACATTTTGTCGGCTCTGGGAACCTACCAAAGCTGTCCCTTTCCATTTCCATCATTTCTTTACCAACAAGCGCACATGTTTCACCATACGAAAACTCCGTTACCTGTTGGGCCTCGCTATCAAGAACGGCTATCTTCAAACCCTCAGGCATTCCTTCGATTTTGCTACAATCAGCTCGCTCCGACGTTACGACAAGTCGCACCGACTGTGAATGATTGCCACCGCTCAGCATCCATTGACTGAGTGCCTTTACGAAACACGAAAGCAAATGGGTCGTGCTAGAGAGGTCTGGCACCACGACATGCGTAAATGGAGCAATATCCTTCATCCTCGTTAGATAAAGGAGCATCATTTCCGCCGTTGATACCCAAAGGTTTGTCGCTTCGCTGCCTTCAAACGTTTCTCCGCAAAACTTACCTAACATTGCTTTCCCACCCTCAACTTCCAATGAATCCAGGTATGCCTTTACAGGGCTAACCTCGAAATACTTCGGCACCACCACAAGTACCTTAGCCCCTGGCACCGTTGTAGCAATGGCCACCGCCAGAACCAAAGCCTCCTGCGGCTTGCGTGTCACCACAACGTTGTGGTCACTGAGTTCCTGTAACCCCAACGCACTTTTAGGCGAATTTGGGCTGCTCATCTGCGCATTAAGGGCGCCGCGCAGCCTAGACATCATGTCCGCCGTGTTGGCTTTTGGTGGGCGCGTTGTGGTTCGGACTTGTTTTACTCTCCCCACCATAACACCTTTTCCGACTTGCTGAACAGCGGCTTCCGCATCGAACTGTAGGACGTTCGCTTCGCTCGTTGTAGGTTTTTTTACGGCATTCACGATTGCGTCCGGGTCAAATGGATGGGCCGCATTAGGGTCGCTTATGATTGTGGTGCCCTCCCCAGGGGTCTGTAACGAGGCGGGGGACATGGCACTTTCGGGTGTGACCACCCGTGGGGCAACACCATGCGACGCGGCAACCTTTCCTCCTTTTCGTCCATGGCGGATAGCGCTAGCCATTTCTAAGTTGGTGTTCGGGGTTGGCGCGTGGTGTTCCTTCGCGTGTGGCTTGCTGTTGTAGCGGTTCTCTTACAAAAAAAAACTCTTTACGGGTCGCGAACGATTAGGTATGAAGAAGTAAAACAAAGAAAAAGCATAATGCATGACCAGCAGCAGAGAGAGAAAAAAAAAAAACGACTGGGAAGTAAAATAAAAGCCATGCCTCCTTCAACAAGGCCAGGGACTGAGTAAAAGAAAAATCCTCATGCATTCTCATTTTCCTTCCCCTATTATCATCCGGGCGGAATGAAGTGCTCCGTCACTGTTTCATTGTGGTTGTCACCCAAAAGCCGCTAGGGGTATCTGTGCTCGCCTCCTCAATGCTCCGCTTCCACAACACACGAGCCCGTTCTTTTGATGCCGCTATTATTGCACCCTTTGCAACTGCCTCCCATGAAGCGTGGTGCTGTGCGCTGCTGCTGGGCTGGGTAGCGTTATCCATCCCCTCACCGTCACTCTCATCACCCTCTTCCTCGGAGTGTCCGCTGCGGGCTTGTTTCAACACGAGTGCTTCACGACGGCGAACAGCATCCTGGAAAGTGATGCACAAGTGTGTCGTGATGGTTGCCGACACGCGTTTCACCTCGTGACGCAAAACGTTAACTCCAGCATCTTTCAGATGGGGGCACATGAAACGGAGGTAGGAGAGGAGGCAGTTGACTTCAGCTGCTGCATCAAAGTGGTGGTCAAGGTTCTCGTCTGGAAGGAGAATGTGATTGAAGTGCACCTGCTCTCGAACACGCGCGTTGAAAAAGAAAAACTGGTTCTCCACGCGCTCGACGTTGTAAGGCACCTGGCGCGCTCCTTGCGGGACCACAAGGCGGCCCTCCGTGCTTGTCGGTCGAGTCCAAATAGGTAGTAAGAGATCACCACGAAGATACTTCACTGTACCGTCTGGCTCAATCAAGTTGGACCGCACCTTGCGTCTCTTGTCCCCGAACCCGATGCTTTTGTGCGTGTACGGTAGCCGGAATTTGAGCATGCTGTGCTCGCCTTGCAGAATTTGGCACCAGCACTCTTGCGCCCTCATATTCTCCGCCACATGGTCCTCAAAGTTGGGAAGGTTGACACTCCCAGAACGGATGTCAGAGACAAACAGGAGCGGCTTGTTACGCTCCATTCCCACGTAGCAGAGCAACTCAAAACCAAATGGGAGATCAAGATGTGGCTCGTACATTGACGGGATATCCTCCGTGCCACGTGCCACATCAAGTGTTCCAACAATGTTCTGAAGTTTATCGTGTATTTCATTCCTACCCGACTCCACACAGTCAACGGCAACGTCACGGTAGATGGCACCCAGCCCAGGTAGTACTTCCGATAGACGGCGGGCGTTGATAGCGTACGCGGTGGCGTTTGTGAAGAATTCATTGCGCAGCGTGAAGTTCGCCCGCGTTTCCAGCACTGGACGATCAAACATGCCAGGATCCACAAGCTCCCACGTGTGCAGACACTGAAACATTTCGTCAAGAAAGGCAAGATGAGTGCCGGGAGCAGACCCGGCATACACGATGTGATACGATGTATTCGGCCGAGCGTAAAGAGATAACAGCTGAATCTCCGACAAGAGCAGTTTCCGTTGTCCCCAGTGAATGGCAGCCTTCACTGTCTCACTGCGTGAGCGATATGCCTCGGCTGGAAAGCTGTCGTCCATCAACACGGGAAATGGCAGGTGGGAGGGGTAGTGGTACACCGTGTGGGGAGCTGGCACGGGCGACACACACCCATCCCCGCGCGAGGTGGCTCCATTGCCGCTGTGTGTGCCCCCGCCAGCACTAGCATCGCCTTCACGCGGCCGCTTTTTGAAGAGACCACCATACATGGGCGCACTGTCCTTGGGGAAAGGTAACGAAGAGGAGGCAAAAAAAAAAAGGTTGCGTGGCTGTAACCAAGCAGCAACAGAAACAAAAGCCCCTTCACCTTCACCACCGCCACCACCAGCACCAGAGAGCGAGAGAGAGTCAGAGAATACAACGTCAATAAAGAAAAAAAAACGTTTTGCTCTCGGCGCTCCGTTCGTTGCTGTTGCAGAACATTGCCAGTCGGCAGACACCACCCTCACCACCAAAAGAAAAAAAAAAACCATTATGAAGTGAAAATAAGAGGTAATAAAACAATGCCCAGTGACGTTTTCCAGCCCCACAACCTGGCGTTGATTCTTTTCAAAATTACTGCAGAAAGCAAGATGTAATAAAAAAAAAAACATTCAACGTTTTTTTTTTGTTGACCTCTTCGAACATTTACTTTTCAATCAAAAGAAAAGCGTTTGCTGCGGTTTCCACACAGAGCGCAGTGAGCTCAGCGCCAGGGTCCGGGTGGCCCACCTCTTTTCCTTCCATGTAACGGCTGCGGCCATGCTTTGCCGGCATGTGCTTGGCTGCCTCGGCGCCGCTCTTCGCTGCCTTGACGCATTCACGTAAGAGTGCTTCAACAGAAGTGGCGGCCTGCACCTGTGGGCACGAGTTTATTGCTTCAAGAACGTCGACCATCGTACGCTCCCCTCTTTTGGCACGTCCAATGCGCTGAACCTCGGCGCTGCCACCTTTCAGAGCTGCCCTGATGAGATCCACTGCGGTGTTATTAGCTCCACTCATAGCCTCGGCAGCCGAAGCGCCGGCTCCGAGGAGGAAGGCACCGTAGAGAGGACCGGAGGTTCCACCACAAGCATCCGCCACAGACTTTGCGAGCAGCGTCAATGTCTTGATGAGGTTCTTTTCCCAGGGAAGGTGGGGTAGCATCTCCAAGGAAGCAGTAGAAGCGCGCCTCATCCCACTACCAAGGTCTCCATCGCCCACAGCAGCATCAAGAGAATTCAGGTAGTCCTCAGAGCTCTCGATCTTCTGGAAGATTTTCTCAACAACTCGTCGTACGACACTGTCGCCTTGCAATCCACATTTTTCCTTCTGGGCCATCTGCAGTGCGGAGGGGGGCCCAGGAATAGGTGGGGATGCGAGATTTGGGATAGTGAACGGCATCAATGGTGCCTGCTCCCTAGAAAACAAGTAAGAGATGTCGTCCGGGTTGGAAAACCGCAACACTGTAAGAGATATGCCATGCATCTCTAGCGACGTCATATAGCGACCCATTGACACCCCGGCCACATCGATTCCAGCCTGATGGAGGTACTGCAAGGCATGGAGGGTAACTGTCCCCATTTCAAGATCCGTGGCGCTGCCCATGTTATTAACCATGAGAGCAACCTTTGAGCCTTTCCACTCAACACTGTCTTCAGTAGAATTCTCCTTCTCCCCACCTGCCAGTATGATTTTCATCAGGTGACGTACGAGCGGTTCCGCTCCTTCGAATGGTATTTCATAGAGACACTTTTCCCCATGTATACCAAGCCCGACGGCCACGTGACCCTCACGCACAGTTGTAATTGGCTTGGACCCAGGGAGTGAACACGAAGAAAGCGTGGCACCAAGCGAACGAAGCCCAGTAGATATCCTACTAGCCATTTCCTTCACCTCAGAGAGGCTTGCACCTTTCTGTGCAGCAGCGCAAACAAGTTTAATTAAGAGTTCCGCACCAGCAATACCGCGCCGTCGACTGACATCATGCACGCCAAAGCATACGTCATCGGCAACAAGGATTGTTTCAATACGCGCTCCCCTCTCCTTCATCTCCTTCACGGCAAACTCAAAGTTCAGGATGTCACCCAAGTAATTTTTCACAACAACCAGAATGCCGGGACCATTGGGGCCCTGTCTCTCGCACAAGTAGTTGATAGCAGCGCTGACGTGAGCGGAGGGCGGTGATGCGAAGACACCCCCACACACAGCAGCACTCAGCCAGCCGCCTGCAACAAAACCCACATGGGCCGGCTCGTGCCCAGAGCCACCTCCACACATGACGAGAACTTTGGTCGGGTCAAGTTCAGTGTTCACCACTACATGCGTATTTTCAATAACGCGCAGGTTTGGGTTTGCCACACACAGACCTTTTACGGCTGTATCGACAGCGGTGTCGGGGCAGTCAATAAACTTCGGCGTGGCCATTGCGTTCGTACAAAGATAGATGAATTTGTGCTAGAAATATGTCACGCAAAGCCAAACAAACAAACAAACAAAAAAAGAATTCAGCCAATACAATAAGTAAATGAGGGAGCTTGATAAGCAAGCATCAGAGAGCCCAAGTAACAAATAAGACTAATAATAATAAACCCACTGTTCTTTAAATAACAGACCAGAGAAGACACCGAAAGCATAAGCATCTTTTTTTTTGTGTGTGTGTGTTATTGCTCTCAAAGCACAGAAACGACACACTCACCACTCCAGCGTCCGCGGCGCTGCAAAGGCATCCATAACAGCTACGGCGCCGCGCAACTTCGCGGCAAGCACGCCACCGTCATCCCCACGCTGCTGGCGGCACCACTTTTTTCCGGCGGCAAGACACTGCCGTACTAGTTCTCTGAGATGCGCCTCCACGAACGAGCCGTCATCATCATCTTCATCCCCGTTCACGTCAACCTCGCCTCCGCACCCCTGCACCTCTGTTTCCCACCGTGCTCGCGTCGGAACAGGAGAAGACTCATAAATTGACAGAAAGCCGGCGAGGGAGGTGCGCCAGTGCTTGACTTCCTGCACATCAACTAACCCCACTTCCGCGCTGTTCTCGCCGACGCATAACAACTGCTGGAGAACGAATTCGGTTGCCGCCAAAACGGAGGCCAGCACCCGCGCCTGTTGCTCTGCATCCTTGATGATGTCTCGGAAGAACGGGTGCTTGCCTTGGATCTGCTGCCAGTCCTTCGCAGCGTCCGCACCCTTCAAGATCTCCCATTTTGCCTCCTGCAGAGAGCGGACATACACCTCCCCGTCGCTAGCGACATCGAGCTCCATCCGATGCAAGTGAATGTCTGTGCTGATATGCAAAAAAATGACACGGCTTCCACTGCGGCACAAGCTCCTACCAAGCGAAATCACCCATGAACAGATCAAAAGAAGGAAGAAAGTAAGAAAATGATACGGATTTCACAGTTTCTGTGTAGATTATACGTCTAACAATCCTTTCTGTTTGTTTGCAGACCCAGATGCATGATCACAACTAGCAGCATTACCACCACTCTGACACCCCCCACACACACATATATATA